AAAAAAAAATAAAAAAAAAAAAAAAAAAAAAAAAAAAAAAAAAAAAAAAAAAAGAAAAGAAAAGAAAAGAAAAAAGAAAGAAAGAAAGAAAAGAACGTAACCTTAACGTAACGCAGCATAAACTGAAATGTATTATAGCCTTCTTTATGTCATTCCCTACGTAGCAGTGAAGTAAATACACTTAATATTAAAAATATTGTGCTTATGAATATATTATTAAATTGCATTAAACTGTACTTGCAGATTTGAAATCAGCAATGCGAAATATTTCAGATTCGTTTAAAACTCTCATGCAACAGAAGAAATTTTTTTTTCTCCAGTGTTATTAATCACTGTAAAAAAAAAAAAGTAATTCTTTGACAGTTTAACATGCAATGCAAACAAAAAACCGATTATTGAAATTTAATCATAATTATTAGTTCAAGTTTAGAAAACAGACGATAATAAGACAAAATTATTTACCATAATTTTGCATATACTTTTGTATTTATAAACCCGATCATTCATATCTATATTTGTCATAACTGTGTTTACATTATCAATTCCTTACCTCAGCGCAAACTTCCCGACGAAATGAGTTTCTCATTGTTCCACAATACTTTTTTCGTCTGTACGGAAAAGCCACTCCTACTTCGAACTTCAGTCAATGAGCGAATCGAGAGCTCATTGGCGCGCGCATTCTAAACGACGCGCGGTACTAAAAATCATAGCTGCATGGCGCGCGTCTTGCTTTTCCAGAGTTTCACATCAACAAATGCAACATTTTCTTTCAGCGATCGTCATCCGCAGATGCGACGAAATTTAATAACTTATTCAACAGGTGTAGTTGAAGATAACTGAAAAGAACTTTTTTGAACCGCAGACGATATTTTAAGAATTTATTTTTATGATATGTATTTATGGACTGGATTTATTTACGAGATTAATACCGACATTAAGTAGCTGATATTTAGTGGAAATAAAACAAACCTAATAATTCTGTTATCCATGAACTGAAAAAGGAAATTAAGAAATACGAAGTAAAGTTGGAAGGAATTTTGATAATTATTAAAAATGATAAAATAGTATGTGTTTGATTTTTGTTTTGGAATCAGATCACTAGATAAAGTTGTTATATCATCAACCAGAAAACAACTGCTGTTTTATAGTGACATTTTCTTCCTTCTTTACTTTCAATTTAAAACGAAATAAAAACAAAATGGAAAATACATCAACAAAATGGCCAACAACTGTTTTGGTGCGTATAGCAAAGAGGCCGTCACTTGGTCTTGGAATTGTTGTGACCCCGCGTCCTCAACATCTTGGTCTGGTCATTGCCGAACTCATCAGAGGGAGTGAGGCTATAAAGACCGGGCTCTTAAGACCTGGTGACCAGATTCTTAAGGTAAATAATAAAGATTTGGAGCACTTACCATACGAGCAATGTCTTCATGTTCTTCAGGAGTTGCCAGTGGATGAGGAAGTTGAGATTCTGATTCGCGTACCAGATGGGTACACGACGAGATTGGTGACAACATTCAACGAGGAAGGGGTGTCTCGCACCACCAGAATTACCAGCCTGATACCATCGTCTGAATCGCCTTCGCATCGTAGACGAAGGGAATCTATTCCAGATGAAAAAATTCGGAGTTTAAAAGCAAGTTTGCACCAGAACGATGTTGGAGGTGTCGCCAATGATAATAAACTGAATAACGGCGTATCGTTTAAATCTAGTACAACTCTAATACCTATAATGAAAGAAAATGGTCTCTCATCTCATGTGCAAATGTCACCAGAGAGACCTGCGACACTGTCTGCCAAGTAAGTACCAAATTCCTAATCCTAATTAAGGTGCAATTAAAGAGCTAAGTTTCTTTTTTTTCTCCAATGAACATTATGAAAGTAAAATTTACTATGCTAACCTAATTGTTAAAAACAGATTGATTTCATTGATGACTTGAAATCCATACATAAAATACTTGGGGTATTACAATGATAAGCCACGTTTTCGAACAAAAAAAAAATGTGTTAAGAACGTTTTTGTGAATAATATCATAATTCCAATCTAGGCAATGACATGCTTCTGTGTATTGTGCTATTATCTAAAGGAAAGTCTGGAAATACTCAGAGTATCTATCTAGAAACAATACTTGTAAATAGTTTGGTGCAAAAACGTCACTGTAATAAACGTCACTAAAAATTAATTTTCAAGCTTTAATATCCATAACCATTATTTTACTACACTAAACATTTCTAATGTGAAACAGAAAATATCAATATGGTATTACGAGTTAATTATAAAAATGTATGCTCTTAAATCATAAAAAATATTCTTTTAATATGGCGAAAAATACATATATACCATCTAGTATAACATATGACTAGTTTTCGGATTATATTTGGTAATAATAGTTTTTATTTCCAATTTATAAGTATGAATAATAAAAAAATGCATTTTTTGATTGAACAAATATAAATTTAAAAAAAAGAAATTTAAACATTGAACGTTAATCTTAAGACAAATGGAAAGAAGCAAACTTAAACATGAAAAGATGTCATTGAATAAATCACGCACTAATATGTAAATAGTAAATTCAGACCTGCCAACTTTTACGCATTTGGCGTAAAATTTTATTTCTATATTTAAAGTGATAGTAAAATGTTTGCTTTCTATACATTCCTTGCATTTATAAACTTAATTTATAATCTTTTTTGACCACCAATAATTTTAAAAAAATTAATATGTATTACTATAAATTAACATATAAATTATACATAATACATATAATAATAATACATATAAATTAATATGTATTACTTTCTTTGCACTCCGTTTAAGCTTTTTCAAAACATAGCGTATGTTACTGACTAAAATTGTAATTTAAATTCCATTTTACTACCACTTGGGAAAAGCATCCTCGAAAGGATAAAAAGTTGGCAGGTATGTAAATTAATAAGATAAAAGGTTTTTAAAAGAATGCTTCTATACTGGAAATTTTGTTGTTGTTACATTAATCAAAGTATTTAATTTTATCTAATTCGTGTGTGAGGATTTTAAATCTGGAAATTAGAATTGTTCCGGAATCAATTCATTTAAAAATGATATTTATATTTCTCTGAATTGACAGCTTATGAAGAACGTATTAGTTTATATGTAAATACATACATCTGTGTGTTTCTTTGAAAGCAATATTAAGGACAAAAGAAAAAATCTGTGATCTAGTATCGCTCTTAAACTGAAATACATTATCACCCTCCCTTTCCGACTACTCCTTACGTAGCCGAGAAGTGGGGGCACTCAATATTCACTGGAGTGAATTTTATAACAAAACCCGGTGCAGAATATATTATTGTATAGAGGGAAACAGATTGCAGGTTTGTACTCTCCTGCAACAACAACAAAAAATATTCTTCAGTGTAGTTATAACATTTATTGTTTGAGACGACCTTGAAATTTTTAAAAGTTTTTAAATTATATCTCTTTTCAAACTAAAAGAAGTTTTCATTAATTTCCTAAAAATATTTATACTTGTTAAACTATATTATTATTTAGATTTTCTTTATTATTATAATTATTTTTATAATTATTTTTGTTATTATAATTATTTTTTTTAAAACTCTGTTCGTATTTTGTTTCTCTTTAATTCAATTAATACAGAATTTCGTTTTCATTAACTTAACTTTTTCTTTTAAGTTAAGTGAATTAAATTTTGTTTTTATTTCAAGTTAATTCGATTCCCTCCGTAAGAAAGTATATGACAAATTTCAATTCGATTTGGAACTTAACTAAGTTTGTATTTCAATTCAGTATTATTCTGTGCTGATTAAATGTGCTGATTCGAAACACTTTTTTATTATTTTTTTCGAAGTTACTTGCTTTAAATTGTGAGACATTTTTAATGCATTATATCTAAGGGAGTTAAAAGTATATTTGTGTAAAAACTAGAGCATTCTATTTCGTTTTTATTATTGTTTAATAATCTACATGTCTTTACAATCAGTAGTATAGTACGTAGACCAGTCACCGATTAGTAGACTAGTCACTAGAGTGGATCATAGGCATCAAAGTTGAAATCTTTGTAAAATTATAAACGTATTTCGTAAATTTTTTTTTCATTAAATTTTACGTTTTTTAAAGTTTACTGCATCTCATATTAAATATGTGTTACATTTTAAGACTAGAAAGATTACAGCAGTTATTCATGTAATAACAGCCATTATTATACACTTTTAGAATCCATTCTAAAAAATTATAGTCATTATTATACATTTTAGTATCCTTGACAAAATTGACAGCCATTATTGTACACTTTTAGCATCCATAGTCAGAAGTAACAGCCATTATTACACACTTTTAGTATCCATTGTCAAAACAGCCATTGTTATACAGTTTTATCATCCATGTTAAAATTAACAGCCATTATTATACACTTTTAGTATCCATTGTCAAAACAGTCATTATTATACATTTTTATCATCCATGTTAAAATTAACAGCCATTATTATACACTTTTAGTATTCATTGTTAAAACAGCCATTTTTATACATCTTTAGCTTCCCTGTTAAAATTAACTGCCATTATTATACACTTTTAGTATCGATTGTCAAAAATAACAGTTATTATACACATTTGGCATCCATGTCAGAAATAACAACCATTATTATAAATTTTTAGTATTCGTGCCCAAACAATATGCATATTAGAAATTGCAGATATTTAAAAGAGGGTGAAAGCCGATATCGGAGCCTACCGAAAATGATCGAAACCAGTTTGTTTGCCAAATGAAATTAGAAATGTTTCTACCGATCGCCTTTCAACTTCTATTTTCTCCTCAGATTAAGCACGTTTTGATATTTTCATTTCTCTCTTCTTCACTCTTGATGCATTAGATTTCAGTATCAATCTGTCTTCATTTTCGACAAGGAATCTAACAATAAGAGCAGTTATTATGAAACACCCAGCATATTTATTTTCTGTTACTATTTATTGATACTGTTTTTATTGCTAAACACTTAAATTTTCTCTAAACTTAGTCAAACTGTTACATTGAATTTTTTTTAGTCCTTTTCTACTTAACTACGTTGCCACTACAGCAGTTACTAGAGTGCCTAAAGCCTCAAAGAAAAACCTCTTTTAATTTATCTGATAATTGCTACTTCTTTTTTTTTTTCATAAAAGAAAACTAATTCCTATTTCTCAATATCAGATTGGTTGGAAAAATATCTCAAAAATTAGTTAGCTCAGAGACCCTTGAAAAATCATCAAATTTGGAATAAAGACCACGAAATTTGTCGAGGCAACAGACACTCTGGTCCGGTATATTTTGATTGATAAACAAAGGGAAAGCATTTGTACAAAGTGTACAAAAGCATTTATCTGTTCCTTGTACAGTAATACATCGGAAGAAATACATTCCAGCTCACATATCAATTGTTTATTTTCATTTATTTATATATTTTTTTGTTAGGGAAGGAAAAACAACATTATGAAATGACGGTTAAAACCACCGAGATATTTTCATGGAGCAAAATTGACAAAATGTGATAATTTTTACTTCCAAACATACGACTGATGATCCATTTCATATGGCAGTCATGAACAAATGGGAAAAATGTGTTACTGAGCATGATGGTTAAATGAATGGTGTGCGGAAACGTTTTAAACATGACAATGAAACAAATCTAAGTTCAAAAACAATTACAATTCAGAAGACAAATGTTGTTAAAGAATATATAGCTACACTTTTTAATTAAAAATATTTTATATAGTCGTGACGGATCTTAGATGCATTTATATAAAGTAGGGGAGAGTGGGGTCAATTGTAACACTTTTTACTTAACTATTTTTAACTAACAAAAAATCCAATATATTATTAGTATTAATTGACAGACGAGTAAAGTAGACTATCCTCTACTAGAAGAAAATAATAAAAACCTTATTTTAAATGTTATTATATTAGTTATTAACAATTTTTGACAGTCGTGCACTTGTTACAATTGTCCCCACTTACGGGGTCAATTGTAACAGTTCATAAATTCAACTAAAACATAGTTAATTATACATATTATCATAGTTGTGATATATTTTTTTATTGATCAAAATAGTAGTGATATTTTAGGAGTAAAAATAATAATGAGCAGAGACCTAAAGGGTTAAACTTTTAACTTTAAGGGGTTAAAAATTTTAATTTATGCTGTGAAAGGTGACAAATAAAATAATGCACATGCAACATAATATAAATGATATAGGAAACTATTGGTGGTTCTTAAAGAGTTAAGTAATGGTTTGTAAACATAAGATTATTTATTTTCAGCTGTTACAATCGTCCCTTTACTTATTGTTACAATTGTCCCCAAGACGCCATTTCAGCTTCATTTGTTAAAAACAATGCTAGTTAATTAGCAAAACTAATTTTTTTTTTATTGAAATGTTAATTAAAGTGTCCACTTACATATTCGGTTACTAATTTTTATTTGTTTAAACAAAATTACTTTGTTACAATATAATATTCTAATACCAAAAAAAGTACTTGCGTGGCGTGAAAATATCTTTTGTGATGTAACTCTTTCAAAAGTACATAAAAATGGTTGCCATCAGGGGTGTACATGTAGATTTATTAAATACACCTTGTGCGCCACCTAGGAACCAAATCTATAACCCGACACTCGAAATTTTTGCTCTGTTACAATCGTACCCTGTTACAATTGACCCCACTCTCCCCTACTATTTAGAGAATCGTAACAACGTATTATTTTTGTTATAAAGTTTTGATGAAGTCAGTCAGTTTTGATCAAGTTATCAAAATATTTATTTATGATTT